AAATTTTGAGAATTATATAATTTTTTATAATTTTATTAATAAAATTATGCAAAATATTATTGATCTTAAATTTTTACAAAGTAAATCTCTTTTTAACTTCTAATTAAAATTGTAGAAGAGTGTCTTTCGATCAAAATGGAGGTTAAATCATTAAAATCGGCCTAGTAGATCATGAGTAGAGTTGTCAAATTATCATAATTTTGCATAATTTTATATAATTTTGCGTAAGTTTATGGTGTGCTGATATTCATGTAATTTGTAATTTTGAGCATATATAATTTTTTAAAATAACTCTAGAAGCTGTGTACAATATTTTGACATAATTTTTATATTATAAAATTAAGTGTCATATATATCAAATATCATGTATAATATAAATAATATTCTAAAATATTTATTGCACTAGGTACTGAATACAGAATTATATAATTATCATTTGTTTAATTCATTGCAATAATTGTTTGCTCAATTCATTTATAAATAATTGTTTGCTCAATTTATTGTAATAATTGTTTACTCAATTCATTATAATAATTGTTTGCTCAATTTATTAAACATTATTTTTAAACAAGTGTTGTTTTATAATAGTCCAAAATAAAAACTTTGAAATGTGGATAAGTATAATAATTGAATTAATGAAAAGGGAAAAGAATGTTACAAGTGTAAAGCATGTAAAAAAGAATAGCCAAAAATGCAACTTGGTTGCAAGAACATTTAAAAACCTGCACTATTAGAAATTTAACATCAAATGAGTTATTTGAATCATCTAGTGCTAATAATAAATAAAAGCAACTAGCCTTGAAAAACTTTGCTTAACAAGATCAATCTGAATTAGAATCATTACTTGCCTATGCTTTTTTTACTTCTGAAATTCTATTCAATATAATTGAAAATGATGATTTTTATATTTTTTTTAAAAAGGCTTGTCCTTTTTTTAAGATTCCGTCACATAATACTCTCTCTAGTTTACTTTTTAATAAAGAATATACTGTTTTACAAGTAGTCATTTAAGATGTTTTTGATAAATAATCTTACTATTGCTTAGTTAGTAATGGTTGGTCAAATATTATTAAATCATTTGTAATTAATTATATGATTACTACATCTACTTCAATTTTTTACAAGTCGGTTCATACTAATAAAGAATGTTATATGGCTGAAAATATTGCTAGAGATTGAAAATGTAATAGAAGAAATTGGAATTAATAAATTTGTTAGTATAATTACAAATAATGCGAACAATATAAAAGCTACATGGAATATTTTAAAAACAAAATATCCTGATAAAGTTTTTCTTGGATGCTAGTATATAAAATTAATTTTTGGATTAAAGATATTTTTAAGAATGAATGAGCTATACAAATCTTAAAAAAAACTAAAGTTCTAGTTTTGTTTTTTATAATCATTTAATTCTATTAGCTATTCTTCATCATTTACAAAAAGAAATATATAATTTTAAAATCTCACTTACTCTAACTATTGATACTAGATAGACATCATCTTTTGAATATCTTGATCATGTTCTGCAAGCAAGGCCTGCAATATATGCTGTATTAGCTGAGGATAGTCTTGAAATAAATAATAATATTAAAGAAATAATTTTGAATTATGGATTTTGAATAGAGCTTAAAAAATTACACAATTTTTTAAAGCTATTTATTATTTTTATACACCAATTAGAAAGTAACAAGCTATATCTTTCATTGGCATATAAAAATTTGCAAACCTTAAAAAGTAAAATTTCAAATAATTCTCAGATTCCTGAAAAATTACATGACAATACTTTGCAAGCTGCTAGAAATAAATAGGTTAACTTTTTATATAATCTAGCAGTTATTGTTGCATACATTCTTGATCTGAGATATTAGAGTAAAGGTCTTGATTCTACTATGTGGAGAAATATAATTAATACTGAAATACTTATAATTGCAGAAAAGTATTTTAATCAGATATTTATATACAAACCTTAATTTAGTATTGTTACTGGAAGATTACTAGAAGGTCACTAGAAGACCACTAGAAGAAAATTAATAGTAATACTAGAATATAAAGTTCCAGTAGCACTATTGATTTAACTTTCAGTGACCTTCCACTGGCCTTCTAGTAACAACACTACCTTAATTGGTTAATCAATATCTAATATTAACTATATATATATATATATAATATATATATTTATATATATTATATATATATAAATTAATAATTTGGATTACTAAATGCAGGTGCCAATAATAAAAATCAAGTATTAAATGAGTTGTCTGAATATATTGGAAAATTAGGAGGTTTTGTCAAAAAATATTTGTGGAATAATCTTATCTCAAAACCACTTAACTAGTAGAACCTTTTAGATATGCATAGAATTTGAAACCAAATTCAATTTTCAAATTTAAATTTTTAATGCAAGATACTATTTTTTTTAACAATTCAAATTTAAATTCAGATTTAAATTCAAATTTAAAAACTAAACTTAATTCCAAACTCTAGATATGCAATATTCAATTTTGAGTCAGGTTATATAAAAAGTTCTATTAATTCTAGCTATTTCAGTTGCAAGTGAAAGAAATTGGTCCTCTTATGGATTTATCTATTCAAAATTGTGTAACTGATTACTTACTCAAAAGGCAGAAAAACTTATTTATATATATTGGTATACAAGAATTCTTTGTTAATTAAAAAGATCTATTTTAGTAAAAGATTTACAAAATGGTAATATAGTTGAAGAACAAAGTAGTAATCAGAGTGGTAATAAAAATGAAAAACCTAAAAACAATTTTGTCAACTTTTCAAATTGGCTTCTTAATATGTTTGATAATGATGAACATGATAATTATCTTGAATAAATGTAAACTTGTATTGTTATAAATACAATAAATTTGATAGTAAACATATTTGTATATTTAATAATTCTAGCAGGAGTTTACATAGTGCTGGCATAGTAAGTCACATATGTAATTTATATAAAATTCGATTTATTAAAACTTACATAAAATTACATGAAATGTAAAATTGTAATTTTTGTAATACAACTCTATCGCAGGATATAAGTATTTTTGTCTTAACAGCTATTTGTTTCTTCTTTATTTATATGCAAAAAAAAATATATTGTCACAAGAACTAAAATACTTATATTTTATAATTTACTAGGCCGATTTTAATGTTTTAACTGCTATTATGATTTCTCTAAAAATTTTTTTATATGTTGAAAATAGGTTTACTTAGTAAAGAAAAAGATTTTTTTAAAAAATTTTAAATTTAAAAATTCTAAAAACAATAAAAAAAATTTTACTATATTTTATCATTAAACTATTACTGAACTTGAATATATTTATGAACTTTGAACTAAACTTTAAGTTTAAGTTCAGTTCAGGTTTATAAATTCAAAGTTCAGTTTAGGTTCAGGTTCAATGATCAGCAAAATTTATGATTTATATTTAGGTTCAGGTTTATTGAACCTGAATCTAAACTGAACTGAATCTAAAAACCCTAACATAGAAAGTGTTATACTATTTATATTTACTACATATTTCATAATTAGAATTTCTGTATGTTAATTGATTTTAATATTAGAAATATAATTTATAAAATATGTTGATCTTTTTTTTTTTAAATAGAAATTTTATAATAACTAACTATTAGTTTAACAAATAAAAGAAAGAATAAGTAATATATTAAAAAAATATATTTTATTTGTTATTAATAAAATATATCAATTTTTTTTTTTATGAATAAAAAATATTACACTTACTTTTGTTAATTTAACATATTGTATAATAGATAAAAGAAAAAATAAGTAATATAGTAAAGAAATATTTTTATTTGTTGTCAATAAAATATGTTGATCTTTTTTTTTATGAATAAAAAATACTATACTTACAAACTGTAGAGAAATATATTTCATTTGTTAATAAAATATGTTGATCTTTTTTTTAAGAATAAAAAATATTACATTTACTTTCTGTTGATTTAACATATTATATAACAAATAAAGAAAAAATAAGTAATATAGTAGAGAAATATATTTTATTTGATGTTAATAAAATATATCAATTTTTTTTTTTATAAATAAAAATTCTATAATTACTAACTATTAGTTTAACAAATATAGAAAAGGAATAAGTAATATAGTAGAGACATATATTTTATTTGTTAATAAAATATATTGATTTTTTTTTTTATAAATAAAATATTATACTTATATACTATTTATTTAACATATTGTATAACAAATAAAACAAAAAATAAGTAATACAGTAAAGAAATATTATTTTATTTGTTGTCAATAAATATTGATTATTTTTTTTATGAATAAAAAATACTACACTTGCAAACTGTTAATTTAATATATAGCATAACAGATAAAAGAAAGAATAAATAATATAGTAAAAAAATATATATTTTATTTGTTGTTAATAAAATATATTAATCTTTTTTTTTTATAAATAAACTATTTATAATTACTGATTATTAGTTTAACAGATAAAAAAAAAATAAGTAATATAGTAAAGAAATATGTTTCATTTGTTGTTAATAAAATATATTAATCTTTTTTTTTATAATTAAAAAATACTACACTTAATTTCTGTTGATTTAACATATTGCATAATAGATAAAAGTAAGAATAAATAATACTGTAGAAAAATATATTTTATTTATTATCAATAAAATATGTAAATATATTGATCTTTTTTTTTATAAATAAAAAATACTAGATTGGAATCTTGTGGCCTAGTAGTCTAGACACCCAACCCTTTACAAGTGAGTTTTAGGTTCAAGTTCTAGTAAATGCAGATTCTATAAATACTTGAATATACTCACTATAGGAAGTTCAAGTGAGTACAAGTCTGAATTAGGAATTTCTCAAAGGAGGTCTATTGTAAAGAAGTTGGCACTATATGTAATTATAGTTGTTACAGAAGATTCTATTATATAAAGATTGTGTATATAAATTTTTAATTGACATAGATAGTACTAACAATCCTAAGGTGGCATTGGGATCTTGTTTGGGAGAATGACTAGACAGTAACTAGAATTGAAGTAGTGAGAAAAATAGTAAATACAAAGAGATCTGTATAATGAATTGGCCTTACTAGATTTGAAACACCTTTGGCACTATGTAGAATTACTTATTAAAAAGAGGTTAAAGCATAGAAGTATGTACATGTCAAAACTTAATGAAGCTTTGGGTATACTCATATAGGAGTCTTTGGATATTATAAGAGCCTGAAACTACCAAAACTAGTATAGCTAGTACAAGTAGATACAGTGTATAACTAGAGGCTACAACTGCTAATAATTACTATAAAAAGAAACAATAATACACCTGTTATAAACCTTGAGCCTCATAATGCCATCTAACTATAAAAAGCTTTGGAAGTACAAAGTAACCTGTTATAAAACATGCTTAGGCACCTCATCACTATAGAGAGAAATATAGCTATTTGTATGATTACTAAATTCAATATGTTAAGATCTGGCTTCTAAAAGTCACAAGAAAGTTGGCAATTGCAGCAATATGCAGGCTTAAGTTACTTATCTAATATAGTAAAGCTAGCTGTATAGCTTGAGACACAAATCTCTAACAAGTACACCAAGTAGAGATACTAACTAGATACACCAAATTGAAAGCAGAAAATGCCTATTTGAAATATTAATACACCAATTTGGGAGTTAAGATAGTAGTTAAAGTGGGTAAAGTAAAGAATATGTGAAAGCTAATTAGAGACAAGTAAGAATATACAAAATCCAGATCAATCATATATGTAAAAATATTAATAGCTTTGGTGAGTTTTAGCTATAGATAAATAATTTGTATATCTAAAGTTCTAGTCTCAATACTAATATATAATATATAAATATTTATAGCATGACTATATATTAATTCACTTAAGTATTAATAAAAGTTTGGGGTAGATGCTACACCTAGAGTATTCTCCTAAATATTAAAAAAAAAAATAAAAAAAAAAATAAAATAAAAAATATTACACTTATATACTGCTAATTAATATGTTGTATAATAGATAAAAGAAAAAATAAATAATATAGTAGAAAAATATATTTTATTTGTTGTTAATAAAATATATTAATCTTTTTTTTATAAACAAAAAATACTATATTTACTTTTTGTTGATTTAATATATTGCATAACAGATAAAAAATACAATAAGTAATATAGTAGAGAAAATATATTTCATTTGTTGTTAATAAAATATATTAATTTTTTTTTATAAATAAAATATCTAAAAGGTATAGCAGCTTAGTGAAGTGGTCTAGTGGTCACCCCACCAAGCAGCAGATCTAGAGTTCGAATCCTATAGATAACATTTTTTTTATGAAAAATAAATCTGCATTAGGTAATAATTATCCATCATTCGGTTAAATCTACAATCAGTAATCTTGGTTGTACCATCTTATTATAGAAGCTTCAATGCAAAAATGCTAAAAAACCAGAATAATTAAAACCTGTTTGGGAAGACCTGAGTAAAGAGATAGCTATACTTTTCACAGTTTTACAGGAAGGCTAAATTTGGAAGTAATAGTCGAGATTGGAAAACTAAACAACAACAAGATCGTTAAGTAGAAAAAATTCACCAATCTGACTGCCAATTGGAGAGAAGAGTAGTATACCAATCTAGTTAGCTAGCATGAAAAACCAGAGTAGCTATCCATCATGACTAGGATTTGAAAGTTAGGTTTTATCTAATGACAAGGGCTAGGCAATCCCTGGAGACTAGCCAGACCTAATTGGAAGAAAAAGTCATGTGTGATAAAATCATATACTACAAAAAGACAGGATATAAAGCACCTAGAGCCTAGCCAGGGTCGAATTTTCTGGGTCACAGATTGGAAGTAAAAGAGGAACTAATAAGATAATTACAGAAAAAGGAAGACCCGAATATGAGTACTGGTGTTGAAGTGAACTTTAAAAGGGCATAGCAGTTTAATTAGATTATACCAAACTATGAGTGAGGGCCTCAGCAGCTGTGATGACTGAGTCAGCCAGATAGAGATATAGAAGGCTCTGGTAGGTTTACTTTAAGAATAGCTATGCATTTGCTCAACTAAGGAATACAAGCTGGTAATTAGTCAGTGCAAACCCTCAATAAGTTGTACAAGTTCTAAAACAGGGTGTGAAATCTGTTAGAGACAACCAAATAGAAATACCAGAGTTAGTCAGAAGATACCTATAGATAGTTATGATCAGAAGGGTTAAATAGGCAACCCCCTAGTTGGGTTACAGGTATAGCAGCTAGTGTAGAATCTATAGACAGACTACTTAAATAGATACCCAAAAAGTATACATGTAGCTAGTTGTAACTTCATTGTAACTATATAATTATTTGACAACTAATAAAAAGCACTTTATAGCCATAGAGGTCACCTTAATACCAAAAAAAAAATAAATAAATAAAATATCTATAATTACTAACTATTAGTTTAACAGATAAAAGAAAAAACAAATACAGTAAAGAAATATATTTTATTTGTTGTTAATAAAATATAATCTTTTTTCTATAAATAAAAAATATTACACTTACATACTATTGATTTAATATATTGTATAACAGATAAAAGTAAGAATAAGTAATACAGTAGAGAAATAAATTTCATTTGTTGTTAATAAAATATATAAATATATTAATTTTTTTTTATGAATAAAAAATACTACACTTACTTTTTGTTGATTTAACACATTGCATAACAGATAAAAAAAAAAAAAATAAGTAATACTATAGAAAAATATATTTATTTGTTGTTAATAAAATATGTTGATCTTTTTTTTTTATAAATAAAACTTCTATAATTACTAACTATTAGTTTAATAAATAAAAGAAAAAATAAG